AAAAAGAAAAAATTTGAGACAAGTGAGTCCTTAGGCAAAGATTTACAGAGGAAAATGAATCTAAGGTCCGACTTATTTGCTACAGTCATGAATTTGACTCATGTAAGAATTAATTTCATGGAGTCTTTACACATGCCACTTTCTATGCTAAATTATTTATGTGCCTTAGTTCACTTAATAGCTATAATAATCATATGAGGCACAAATAATTCAGTTAATTGTTCAGGGCTACATAGATACTGGTGAGATGAGATTGCATGTTTGGTTATATTCTGTATTAGTGCAGCACTCAATCATACGCTTCTCTGTATATGCACATACTTAAAATTATGATGCTGTTATGACGGGGCATGACTGCTCTTTCTCATCCTTTCTTAGAGTAATAACTTTCTTCACATAATGACAGATTCTGAGATGTCAGAAATTTTACTCTAGGGTTATCCATTACCAAAATCATGTAAGTAAAATAGAACATTTATCATTGAACTACTGGAAATTTATCTGTCCTGACCCTCTCTGTCTGATTTTTTTATTTTAAAAATAAAAGGAAAACATTAACAAACAGACAACCATTTCCAAAATAGCAAAAGAACAATACAGACAATATAGAGTTACAAACAAGGTGGTAAGAAATTAACAATGCTTGTTGTATTACATATTGATATCTTCAAAGTGGTTTCTCAGGAAAACAAATAGAGACATACAATATTGACCAATCAAGGAATCATTAACAGTTTCTTTCAGCAAAGAAATAGAAGACAGTAGAACAACCATGTTAACTATCCTGTATATACATACATACAAAGTTCTCCTTCTTTCCCTTCTCTTTTCCCACACCCCAGTTGCCCTTTACCCATGAGCATTTTCCTTTCGTTTCACAATGTCTGTCATACCTCCTAGTTTTTATTCACTCTTCTCCATCTGATTTTACTTACTCTTTCCTTTCAAAAAGAGAGGGAGTGTGATGGTTCAACTGCCTTGTCAATTTGATTGCTTTGAGACCTGCCCAGGGTGTCTGGGTGGGTAATGGAGGCCTAACCATTAGCCTCATTTTTTGAATTGCTACAGAGAGATCCCAACTTCGGTGAGTGGTTTCCAGATCTGCTGTGCAGGCACAAGGTGGCTCTGCTACTGCAGTTATAGTACAGTTGGATGAGAAGTGCTCTTCAACCAGCCAGGGTTCCACAAAGTAATTCATGAAAGCAAGGAACAGAAAGTTTGTCTATTGTGTCACCTAATTTATACTAAGGGCATTCTTTTCATGAGGCTCATATCCCATACTCCATGACATCTGGACACATTTTCTAATTGTTTTGCTGCCCTATGGACTTAGGCCCTTTAATTTTTCTATCCCACTCTCAGACAACAAAGGGTCTATTTGCTGTTGCTTGTACATAAGTCAACCAATATGCCCCAGGCAGCTGAAGAAAGTGGTTTTTCTGAAACACTTTCAGGGTTCTTATAAATAACAGCAGCAAATCTAGTTTTAAAACATCAGCTAAACCAGGCATGGTGGTGAATGCCTGTAATCCCAGCACCTGGGAGGCCGAGGCAGGAGGATCTTTGAGGCCATTCTGGGCTACATAGTGAGCTTAAAACCACCCTGAACTACGCAGAGAAACCCTGTCTCAAAAACCACACATAAATAAATAAGTAAATCAGCAGCGAATTTGTGACCTATCATCTTCCTATCCTCAAAGAAGAATCAAGAGTCACTGCCAAGGAATTTTCATCTGCAGGGGAAGAAGAAGCCCATTAATAAGCAAACAGAAGCTTGACATGAAAGTCAGAAAACGAGATGTGATTCCTCGGTTTTGCACTTGGGATAGGCGGGTATAGGTTCTACTCATATTTGTAACAAAGAAGGCTTTTGTCCCTTTTCTTACATACGGAAGTCTAGTTTATCAAATACATGTAAGAAAATACAGACAATAAGTTCTCACTGAGTGATTATTTAATTAATGGGTTTGAGCTGTACAATTCAGACATCAGCTGATGGTGTCTAACTGATGCTTCACTGGATTTTGCATCTGCCTCCAACCTTTCTCAGCTCTAAATTATAATCCCCAACTAACACTGCCTACAAATATTGAGAGACACGTGTGGCACTCTCCCAAAGCCCTTGTGTGTGGCAGCTTTAGAGGACAAACATCTCAATTAACAAAATACAAAAATCAGGACTGGACATCTGTCAACCTTATCTTACTGCAGCTATGTTGCTCAGGGAATTCTGCCTAAGGTGTTTCTCAGCCGTCATCCATTCTATCCAGCCGAGGTAGCAATCATCGCAGTTTATTTAAGCCCAGTTTTAAAATAATGTGAAGATTGGGATTTTAGCTGAGAGTGCAGCTGTAATTCTAGTGATAAAGTACAATTCTTCCCTCTCATTTCTTCCCTCTTTGTTTGCTTGTTTAAATAAGCATAACAGCACATTTGCTTATTTATTTATTCAGCAATATTTACTGAAACGTCCAGTGTACCAAACATGGCAAACAGGGTGTTACCACTCACAATTGTGGGATTTAGTCATTAGGAATTTTGAAAAAAACCTACCTGAAGAGATAAGGGAAAGATATAATATGTCAGTGCTCCATTACATTCTCCCTTAGCCCTTTTCTCTTTTTTCCTTTTGTTTATGATGAGAGTGTGTTAATTGCTCACAGAATGGAGTTCGCTGTGATATTTCAGTACGTGTACACTGTGCACTCATCAAATCTCTTTCTATCCACTTTCTCCCTTCCCGATGTGTAGTAATCACTGTTCTACATTCAAGTCAATCTCGGGGCTGGGGATTTAGCTCAGCGGCAAAGCGCCTGCCTGGCAAGCGCAAAGTCGTGAGTTCGGTTGCCGGTGCCGGAGAAAAACCAAAAAAAAAAAAAAACAACAAAATACATTCAGGTCAATCTCTTTTTAACTTCCGTGTGTGTGTGTGTGTGTGTGAGAGAGAGAGAGAGAGACAGAGAGAGACAGAGAGAGACAGAGACAGAGACAGAGAGAATGCATGCTCCTTACAACAGCTGCGGCATTATGGAGCGGTATTACTGGAAGATGTGTAGGAAATGTCCATGTGAACACAGCATAAAGCCCTAGACACACAGGACAAACAGAAGCTGGGAGATACAAACTTCCTGTGTAGCAAATCATATTTTTACAGTGAAAGGCAGAATATAAATACAAGCGAGAGTCATTCCTTTATCCACCTCTATAGCCCAGCCAATAAATATAACTGAGAGAAATTCTTCCATAACTGTGGAACTTGTTAAAAATTGATAGTTGGCCAAGTGGCTTTTTTTGGTACTCAACAAAACAACACGGAGGGCTCGGGATATACCTCAGCAGCACAGCACCTGCCTGGCAAGTGCAAGGGCGTGAGTTCAATTCCCAGTACCAAAGAAAACAAAACAAACCAATAGGGAAAAAACTCTGGCTTGTGAATTTAACAAGAAAATATGACTCTCTCCCATTTCAGAACACATTTTTTTAAACTGTAGAAATTGTAAGTAAAATAAACTTAAAATTCCTACTAAACAGAAAATTTTCAAAACTTTGTATAGCTGGACTAGACTGAAAATACTTCTCACATCAATTTTTCAGGAAAGAACAGAGATTTATTATTATATTCAAGAGGAAACACCACTCAACATTTAGAGTCCAAACATTTAGAAGAGCATTTTTATAAATAATAAGTAAATAAAAGTTTATGATTACAAAAGGGAAGCTTGTATTGGACACAACTCAAAGATAAGCTGGACAATGTAGCTTGATTTTTTTATTAGTAAGGGCATGTTTGCAGCATGTAACATTTACATTCCTTGTGTGGAGTTGATACTGTACACAATAGATCTTAATTCCTTCTTTCATCCCTTTTCCTCTCCTCACTCTTCCCCTCCCTCCATCTCTTCATCCCCTTCCCTTTCGAGAAAGAGCTGTCTCCCTACTTCTATTCTTTTGTTTTGCTCTTTATTTACAAACTGGATTTCTCACATCAGAGAAATCATGCAATATTTAAACTTGTATGTCTGATTTATTTCACTTAACATTATGTCTCAAGGTGTATCCATGCATACCCATGTTTACAGCAGAACAATTTATTTAATAGCCAAATCTTGGAAATGCCCTATATGTCCATCAACAGATGAATGGTTAAAGAAAATGTGGAGTACTACTCTGCCAAGAAGAAAGATAAACAGGTCATTTGTAGGAAAATGGATGCACCTTGGGGCCGTAATTGAGTTTTATTTTTAAATAGGTATAAATTTATTTTTAAAATAATTTCTTAATTTAACCTTGTAAACCTCAGAGTATACAAAAATATTCTAAACAGGTTGAAAATTTACATAGAAGTAATTTCATTATGTGAAATATATATGAACAATTTATAATTTGAAAAATATAATTATATACATAATTGTATATAATTTGAAAATTATATATAATTTGAAAGTTACATATAATTTGAACAATATAATTCAAAGAAAAATGATCTCAAGTGATCTAACACATTGAAGTGAATGTTAGAAATATTGTTCAGTATTACACAAGCACTTTCTCTTCCACCCTTGGGCCTGTGACATGGACTTTAAATTGTGTAGCTGAGACTGAGTTGCATTTACTGAATTCAACAATATGGTCTCTAATTTCAAAAGCACAAACACATTCAGGCACACACATATTTATTTTTGAAATTTATTGGAAAGCACAGATATCACGAGTACTTTTGGACAAAAAGGATCTAATTCAAAGCACTCTCCCTTGTTGGGTCTAAAAAAAGTTATTTGTGGCAACCTGAGACATGGTTAATTACAATGAAAGGAACCCTGATGTTTTAAATCATGGGTTGTAGGCAGGCTATATTGTGTAACTAATGCCAGGCACCAAAACATAGATCCTTGTATAGAAAAAGATTTACGCCTCTGAAGGTCCAGACTGATTCAACTAAACATTAGCAATTTTCTAAAAAACCTCTAGAGTGTGAGGCTTTTCAGAATGTTGGAGCCTGATCAGAGCTTAGCGCCCCAAATCATCTTGCATAGCCTCCTACGGATCTCCTTGGTCTTGATGGAATAGATAATTGGGTTGAGCATTGGAGGCACAAAGAGGTAAAGCAGGGACATAAACTTGTGCACATACTCAGGGGCGTGTTTCCCAAATCGATGGACCATTGACACGCTCACCATGGGCACATAGAAGATGAGCACAGCACAGATATGTGACACACATGTGTTGAGTGTCTTAAGCCTTTCCTTCTGGGAGGCAATGGCCAGAACAGAGTGGAGAATGAGGACGTAAGAGAGGAGGATGAGCACAGAATCTACCCCGAAGGCAGAGATGACAATGAAAAGGCCATACATGCTGTTGATGGTGGTATCTCCACAGGGCAGGCGGATCAAGTCTGGGTGCAGGCAGTAGGAGTGAGTCAGCACATTGGCTTTACAGAAGGGCAATCTCTTCAGGAGGAAGGGAAGCGGGAAGACCATGCAGAAGCTTCGAATAATGATAGATATGCCCATGTGGGCCACACGGGCATTTGTGAGCACGGAGGAATAGCGCAGTGGGTTACAGATGGCCACATAGCGGTCAAAACTCATGGCCAGCAAGATCCCAGACTCTGTCCAGGAGAAAAAGTGGATGAAGAACATCTGGGCTAAGCAGGCATCAAAAGCAATCTCTGGAGCACGAAAGCACATAGAAGCCAGTACAGTAGGCAGTGTGGAAAAAGACACCCCTAGGTCATTGACAGACAAAAGTGACAAGAAGTAGTACATTGGTTGGTGCAAGCTCTGCTCCTCCTTTATGATGAATAGAATGAAGGTATTGCCCATGATAGAGATAGCATAAAGCAGCAGGAGGAGGGCAGCCAGCCAGTGCTCCAGGCTCTCCATCTCTGGAAAACCCCTGAGTGTGATGCTGGTGATACTTGAGACGTTAGTACCAAAGTTTCTCATGAGGATCTCTGGCTTTTAGGGAAGTACAAATGGGTTGAAGTGAGGTCAGACCATGGAAGCAGTGACGATCAGGAGCAGTCAGTGTCCCGGAGTAGAAGAAACAGTGGTGCTGAGATTCCAATACCAAAGACCATGGCAAGGTTAGGAAGGAGAAGATGTCATATCAGACCTTCTACTGCCCAGCAATATTCCCAGATCTGCCATGGGCTTTGGCTCTTTCCCAAAAAAATTATTTGACATTTTGAGGGATGTTATCTTTTTCTTTTTGTGTGATATTCTTAACAGAGGTTAAATCTCTCACTAATGATAGAAAACTGTTTTGTCCTTTCTCTCCACCAGTTCTTAGCCATCACCTTCTTCAGTAAGGACATGATAAGTCCTAGTGAAGTCATTTTTAGTACTCTCTATGTACTGATTTATTCTCTTGTGTGCAAGTGATAGCCTTTGCTACCTGTGTTCTAGACTGTGCCTCCTTACGTTCCTGCTCTGAAATATCACATTAGGTCCTCCTCTTTGCTTTAATTGCTTGAGCCCCTTGCTTATTCATCCTTGGTCTATAACCTCACCACTCCTCCACTTCTGATTACTCTTGCTTCCTTTCCTAGATTTCTCTCTCTCTCTCTCTCTCTCTCTCTCTCTCTCTCTCTCTCTCTGTCTCTCTCTCTCTCTGTCTCTCTCTCTCTCT